TTACTAACAAAAAAGTTACCAATACGGTTCCAAATCAAAATTATATAAAAACTAAGTTAAAAAAGGTAAAAACCAAGTATAGAATGAAGATAGTTGCTGAATGAGCAGATAAGTTCCCACCGCCAGAACCCCAACGCCAGACAGAGAAAGGTCACGCCACCCGTAAGCCAGAACAACTCATAAGTTTCCCTGAATTAGTGTAGTGAAAGTGTAATGCCTGTATCTGAGAAGAATGTTATAACCATCGCTTACTTCTATACATGACAGGGTAGTTTGCTGTTAGTTTGAAGGCCCCGAGAAGTAGTACTTTATTAGTTATAGAATTAAAATTTAAACAGCTCTGCTGTTATGTAATTTAGGCTTTCTAACTATTTTCAATCGGAAGCTGACGAAACACTATTAATTTAAAAAAAATAATTTAGAGGGCAGGTACTGAAGCTACATACATTATATTTAAATTTAATACGTCCAATAGGTATACAAGCGAACGTCGATACACTTTAATCATTGTATCAATAGGCGCACATGTATAGATGGCGGTACTCTTCATACAAGAACTCTCTATTACCATCCATACATGCCCTTTCTCAATACATAAGATATAGAAAATACTTGATAATACAAATCCACATAATTTCTTTTTCAAGAAATTTTCCTTTGGAGAAATAATTAAGAACGAGAAAAAATCCTCCCCGGGTGCNAGGTGAAAGACAGCTTAAGAATTGAGAACGAGAACTTATCTAAACTTACGGTGCGAGTGAATGCACAGCTCCTCGGTAGCTCAAGTGGTAGAGCAACTGTCTAGTAAACAGGAGGTTGTGTGTTCGATCCGCACCCGGGGAGGATTTTTTCTCGTTCTTAATTATTTCTCCAAAGTAAAATTTCTTGAAAAAGAAATTATGTGGATTTGTAGATCAAGTATTTTCTATATCTTATATATTGAGAAAGGGCATGTATGGATGGTAATAGAGAAAGCTTGTATGAAGAGTACCGCCATCTATACATATGCGCTTATTGATACAATGATTAAAGTGTATCGACGTTCGCTTGTATACCTATTGGACGTATTGAATTCTAATTTACCGACAAGCATTAGAGTCACATGCATACATTATATTTGCCATAAAAATTAGAAAAAAGCAAAAACTATAAGTGAAATTACAGTGATTTCAGGAAATGTAGAATTGAGATGAGAGTGGGGTAAATGACTTCTAAAAAACAGATTATATACTTGCTATAAAGAAAAAAAAAAAATCTGGATTATGTTTCTCCAGGACAACACAAAGATAAATATTTAGTTAAATAACTAAATAAATAGTGTTCATTAAATAAACCTGACCAGTCAAATACTGATTCAACAAGCATTTTTCAACAATTTCCTTGTTTCATAAAATTCACTTGTGGTAAAGCCTTTTGTTTAGTGGTTATCATTATCTATTTTAAGCACCTCATAAAGGTTTCTCTAAAATGTTGTTGATAAATACTTAAATACTGTAACCATAAGCCTTTCAAGTAGTTTTTTGTACATCAGTTAAATACTGGGTAATCAACCCTGTGCCAGTCTTTTATACGGATCCCTTGCAAAGTTCTCCTCAGACGACTCGGGCATTCATCCAACTGGGTATTATTTACAGAGTACAGCGATTATCTTCATCACACACTCAGAGATACTTTCCATTTACGTGAACAGTGTACGTTTGGCGTTTAGCCTCGTGGTGGCGTGTCGACACCTAACTAGCTGACTGAATACCGAGCGCTCACTTAGCTTTCAGAGGAACAAATTTCGTTCACTCACAAATCCTAGTGAACGCACTCAACGGGCCGTACGAGTGTCTGACACTGAGAATATCATACGTATACATGCGTATTATGTATGTGCATGGATATACATGATGTTTATCATTTTACTTTGAAGGGTGACAGCATTGCTGTCGTTACTTGTACAAGAAATCTGAGCTTCGAGTTCGTACAATTGCTTTTAGCTCGTGGTGCTTGGATTCAAATCCCAATCCATAAATTTTTATCGGAGGACCATTTTGTAATATTATACGAATATAATGAATTGGCAGATGAAATTTTGGTTTTAAATGATCATTCAAATTTAAATACAATTTATGGTGTTCACATTTATAAATCTCTAACTGAAAACGAACGGTCTTAGTTATTGTAGGAGATATTAAAATGTGGATGATATTTCGTAAAAATTTATACAATTGCCATGCATTATCAGTATGAGGCACTTTATTACCTGCAATCAAACCAAAATTTCTATTAAAAAACAGTGATTTTGCTGATGACATTTTTAATTTTTGATAATTTTTGACATAGGTCATATCAATCGGCAACAACACGTTTTTATTTGAAACACCAAAATTTAAGGTTTTTAACTCGTTATTTATGAAATCTATTGTAAAATATTAATACTATATACGTCAACTTTTCCTGCTCGAGTAACAACACTTTCGTAAAGAAATACTATCCTTCGAAATCAGCAATGTCTATCGCGTGTACGTACATATATACGTATGATATTCTCAGTGTTGGTTAGACACTCGTATGGCCCGTCGAGTGCGTTTAATCAGACTTGTGAGTGAACGAAATTCGTTCCTCTGAAAGCTGAGTGAGCACTCGGTATTCACTCAGCTAGTTGGGTGTCGACACGCCACCACGCAGCTGAGCGCCAAACGTACACTGTGCACGTAAATGGAAAGTATCTCGGAGTGAACCCCAGCTAGTATAAAGTTAAATGAAAGAATATTCTGCAATAAACTATCTAACTTGCTGTATTGACCATTTTAATACCAATAGTAACTTTAGCCGATTAGTTGGCCCAGTGTTGGCTTTTCTTCGAAAAAGAGGCCCCTGAAATTCCAGACATCACCAAAAAAAAAAACTATTCATTTTTTCAAGTCAGATAAGGTGTGTTCGGGTATCCTGAGTACTTATACCATTACAAAATCGTAGGAAAATAATCTTGATAATTTTTGACAGGATTTTAATCCAAGACCCCTAGAGTTTCTCCAGCCAAGGGGCTAGCATGCTCAACACTAAGTTACCAGAGCACTCATATATATTTATTATAAATTACGAACATATTTTTATTACCGCACTATAAAATGTATTTTCTATGTACAAAGAATAAAAAAGAAAAAACAAGTTAAGCTTATGACAGCTGAAAGCAGCGCAATGATGGTATCAAACTCTCAAACGACTGAAAATGTTGACATTTGTAATTCACTACAAGATACACCAAAATATTCTTCAAATCACACATACTGTTCCTATTATGAAAAAAACTGGTGAAGGAGTAACTGCAGCAATGCGTTCCATATTGAAAAAAGGACGAGTACCCATGAATATGCAAACTGATTATGGCAAAGAATTCTATTATGAAAACTTCTAAAATCTCATGTAAAAATAAAAAATCAATTTATACTTAACTTAAAGCCATCTCGAAGCTTCTATATACGAACGATTTAATCGTAGTTTAAAAGATTCAATGTGGAAAAAATTTAGTTTGCAAGGTGATTAAAACTGGTTGAATTTGTTACAAACATTAATTTAATTTTACGATAATAAAAAACATTGATCTATTGGTTTGTAACCAAAAAACGTTTACAATAAATCTACAATTTTACAGTAATCTATGATACAAGATACACCAAAAAATTCTTGAAATCACACATACCTAAGTAAGTTATCATAATTGGTTAACCCAATGGTATATCTCATTGTTTCCATTAAGATATCCGAGTGAGATCACAAAAATTATATACAATTCATAGAGAAGGAGCCCACTCACGACATATTTCTACGCTCCAGAGTGGACTATTTTATAATTTTTCACTCGAAATATAAAATCTCGAAAACAAAGACAGATAGAAATTCGATTTTTCTTTTAATTCTTTGGTTTTTGATAAATAATTAAAGAAAACTACAGATAAGGTGAAAACATCATGTTAAAACTTACAATTTTCACTCAGACTTCGAATTTTTGAATAGCTTGAAAACAAAAACAGATAGAAGGTTGGTTTTTTTAATACATAGTTTTTTAAAACAGAATCAAGAAAAAATATTTATTAGGCAAAAAAACGAGAACCTTAGTTACAAATTTAATTCAACTTATAATTTTTAATTATCTCCAGAACGCAAGCAGATACAAAGTTAGTTTTTTGTATTTCTTTTTCTTTTTCCAATAACTTTTTCTTTTTCCAATAACCCAACAAAATCGAAAAACACAATTAATCATGCTATAAAATAGATATCCAACCAAGAAACCTTAGCTAATCTAAAATTTTTAATTATCTTATAACCGCAGGCATATCCAAACTATTTTTTTTACTTTCTTTCTTTTTTCAATTAAGAAAAACAACTTATTTAACTATGAAAAAAAAGGTTAACATTTGACTTCTGAAATATCTCGAGTACGCAAGCTGATAAGATGGTAATTTACGTAACGTTCTTCTTTGTTTAGAAAAAAATTAGAATAAATAATAATTTTATCTGTAGATATTTCATGATAACCCAATTTAGCTGTATACTGGTATTCACAATCGCAGCTTATCTTTAAAACAGGAACTTTTTTCTCAAATTTTTTAGATTTATTACGTATATTAATACGGTTATTAACCAGCTGAGCGTAATCTATGAATTGATGTTTGTTGAATAATTAAGTTGACTATTAAGTTAAATGCTTTACATTACTGCAGTTTTTTTGGGACTGCACGAGTGATTCTTCAAGTGAAAGTATTTAAAAATTACTTAAACTGATTCTATTAATTAGTTCTACTTGATTTCATTACTAATTAAGCCGTAATTTTGTGTCATGAATCGTAAAAAGTATTTTTAAGCCCTATGGATTTTTTTTGTATCCATTATTCATTGAATTAATTAATAAAATAATATCAATAGTGTTAACCCTCCATTTTCGTACATAAACGTGGAGACTATTTGAAAGTGTTAATGATGAGTAAAAAAACTTTGATAAATACTTTGCTTACCTAACCATAGAACTGAGTTCTTGAATTATTTCTTGCCTATGCTGTTGGACTCTCACAGTAGCTGCATATCGAGATGGATGTGCATCCATACTTCCAACAACCGCAGCTATACTTGGCTTTTTGTTGTCACCAGCAGGAGGGTGAGTTACATCAGCTCCAAGAAATATGACAGGCTCATTAAATACTTTTGGTCTTATACTCGGTACTAAAATGCTATTAATACCTCCTAATTTAACATTTATTTTCAAACACAGATTTGATAAGGTTTGCGGTGATGTTTTATTAACATTTTTAGCTTGTACACACTGAGTGGCCATTCCTAGCAAAGTATCTCCAACTCTTTTTACTTCAGCTATAATGTGATGAATTAAATATAAATTATTTATCAGCATCAAGGATACAAAAAAAATTATGTTAATATTGTACGTTACCATATACTGGTGTTTTGCCTGGTAAGACTACACATACTAACTGCAAGGCTTGGAAAGTCGACTTCAAATATCTAAACATAGGCTCAACTTGATCAGGACCTGTTGCATATTTACAAAAGCAAGGTTGTCCTATGATTGGCATTCCAGCATCATTACTTATTTTTTGAAGTTGAGATGTAAATGACCGTAATGCATCTTCACGAACTGTTCGTTGAGGTGCAAAACATGCAATTGCCCAAACACGAATTTCAACTCCAGTAAAAAACTGTTTTCCTCGCATATCCCAAACACCTTGATTTGGTAGAGCTTGTTGCTTTGTCTTAAAAAAAATTTTTTTTTAAATCACCGTATGAATAAAAATTAAATAATCACTTATTAATGTATAGAAACATTGATAATGAGAAATACAGGTTTAAGCTTAAAAAAAAAAATTATTTAGTTAAATGATTGAATCATTCTATTTATCAATCTCCGTATTAAATCAAATGTTAACAAAAAATGTAACTTGGGAAAAAAAATGTTATTCAAATTTTTTCTCTGTTTACAATTTTTTAATAGATTAAAAAAAAAAAATGAAATCGGATAAGCAAACAGTAAGAAATCATTTGGATTAAAAAAAATTGTGGTGAAATTCTTGAGGTGAAATATCCACAACAATATTTTTTTCTGTAAAGAGAATTATTTATTTTAGTATTATAATAAGTTACGTTATAGTTATAACTCATTTAACAGATCATGGATTTTTCGTTATTTTTAATAATAATGGTTTTTAAAATTGATTGTTTTTAATGAAAATAGCAACTTTTAGTCTAAAGTACAAAAATAAAAACAACAAAATGTTTATTGAACAGTTTCTTCCATGATCGTACTTAGATTACTTGTTCTTAATATGGGAACTATTCAACAAAAACCTCCCACTTTAACTATAATTTCAAAATTTCATATGAAAAATAACTAAATACATATATGTATACATATAATTAATTTACTACGATTTTAACAGTGTCACATTTCAAATATATCAAAGAAGTGGCGAAGTTTATCTTCTAATTAAAAAATTTTGTTTGTAGAAAAAAGTTAAGAGCCTGCGATATTCATATCATAATTATCTGTAAAATAATTCTTATAATTTTTTGAACGAGAAACAAAATAATAATTAAAAAAAAAGCATGCTGACACAAACCTCTCTAGAAATATTATAAAATCAAGAAATCATTACTTCTCAACCCACCACAGTAGAATTTTTTTAAGGGCTTCGTAAGTTATACTGTTGTGCGTTCTTTAACTTCAAAATAATATTGTTTCTTGTACGTAATTTTATATAAATTAAAAAAAATACCTCTTCACTAGTAAACAGCTTCTATTATTACATAATTGTTTGTATGAGACATTCCACACAACTGCCCTTCAGACCCCCCAATGCTTACTACAAAGCCTGATCCCCCTACTGCCTCCTTACAAAATAAGGTAAAATTCAGTGTAAAATTTTTCCGTTTCTTTGATGTAACCTATTTTTTATCTAGATATTAACCACCCTTCCAGCTCTGTGCGTCCACTCCTACAGCACTAACAAACCCCTTACGACCCCTACAGATTTTTTCTTGATCCCCTAAGACCACCAAACAGCCCCCACACTATTATGAGAAACCTTACTTATGCCATGCCAACTTTCAGGGATCCTGATCCCATAATTATAATATATGTACAAATTTAAGACAAACATATATATACTCCTCGTAATATAAATACTAATAACATAGAGGAAGTATGCAAACGACACACTCGTGAAATTAACATAAAAAATCGTATTTAAGTAAATATATGCATTTGTAGAAAATTCTTTTTATTTTATAAAAACCAATCGAATAAATTTAGTCAAAGGTTCATTTGTTCATTTATTTACTGAAACTCATGAAAGGTTTCCAAATAATTTGCGGTTAAAATACATAATTTTATTATCTTATCTTACTAATATATAAAGCAAAGTTGGTAAAACCGTTGTAATCGCTAACGCCAAAAACTACTGAACCGATTTGGCTTAAGTTTCGCATACTGATTCTTGATTATTCCAAGATGGTTTTCGCATAGTTTTTTCCTTCAAAAAGTTAATAACAATAGCGATAAATAAGCTCAACGTTTTGCTACAACAAGCTGGCTAAGTGCTTTCGTTCAGTAGAATCCGCTAGGTGGCATCGAGGTCAAATTGAATCCACCCGCAATCAAAGATAGTGAAAAGTAGTTGTAAGATGCCCTTTCGAGTTACCCAATGTCGCAGTCGTCCATCCATAGTGCACCAAAAATACAGACGAGAGTCGTGCAGCTGGGCATCCCGGTCACCGATGACCCTCTTCTTCCATAGGCAAGCGAAATAAATCATTTTAACCCCAGATCGCCAAAATAACCAAGTGCCACGGAGAAATAGCCATCCGGAATGGCCACCTTACTAATGATCGTCCCAACGGGCTGTATATGTATACAGAGAAGGTATTCTCCAGGCACACTTTCCTGACTAACGATAAACGGTTGGTTATCCAGGGAACGACCTGAGGACGAGATATTCTTTGGTCAGCGGCGTACCATCCTTCCGGTATGGTCTCCGTACACAGAGACTCAAAGGATAAGCGTCAAACTACCCGCAGCTGGCTCTTCATCATAAGAAATAATAATAACGAATAGCTGCAAGTTTCACCATAGACCCTTTTCAGGGCCATTATAAGTTTTTACGTTTCCTACTTAACCATCAATCTCATCGGTTCTTCTGAGTGCCACTAAATTTAAACTACCTTGCCAACAAATACATTTTTTCTACTATTTCCGGGAGCGATTAGTCGACTAAAAAACTATGTGAAGCCGGCCACTATAAAACAAAGTCAGTTATTCACTGGCAGACGTCACGAGCGTAATTATTCGTCGCAAGGCTGGGAAACCAGAAATCACCGATCCTCTCCAAGGTCTGCGCTGGGAGAATCGAACAGCTATGAAGGAAAAATAAACTTTAGCCAACAGGGCAGTCTCCAACGGGCAAGCATCACGAACCAATCCCTCCACGTTAGATCACCAAAACAACTAAGTCTGAAAAAAAAAAGTGCTTGAGACACCGTCTTCGACGGTATACCAGGAGAAGTTGGGAAAAGAGCTCTACAACTAGCTCCAAAGCTTCAAACGTTGTAGTTTTTTTCTTCGATCAGTGTGGTGCTGCAATAACAGACAAGAGAAGATCACCCGGAGATATAAAGGCAATCACGTTTGCTGGAAATTTCAGTCAAGAAAGACTTTACTTAAGAAGCTCACCGGTCCTTTTCAGGGTCATCGGGTGTAAAACTACCTTGCCAACAAATACATTACAACCTTATAAAGTTAAAAATAGTATTTAGGGCTGACAAGAGTCTGAATTATGCCAAAAGTTACAAGAAGTTGAATTAGAAGGAAAACTTTAAATGCATCCAATAAATACAATTTTAGGCGTCAAGAAAATGACGAAAAAATTTAATAAGTGAGAGATCAGCTTTCCACTATAACCCTCATAGTAATCTCTTGAATCTTCTAAATTTTTAAATAGGTAGAATATGTATTTGTATTCTTGTTGCGATAAATAACGTAGAGATTAAGCTCCAGGACTTTGTTCCTATGGTAATAAAGATGTGAGAGAAGAGAAAATAATTATTTTAATTATATATTTTTTCTAAGCTTTGAATCTTTACAGCTTTAAAAAAAGCCCTGTTTATAGACTATACGGAGGAAACTGCAAATCAACGGCCTTTTGAAGCCAACGATTATTTAATGATATAAGAAATACATGGTACTTTTCGGCATACTTATATTTTTTTCACTTTTTATAGCTTTTTACTTGACCAAATAAACTGTTTGCATTCCGAACAAATATGTTTTTAATAAGAAGATTTTTGTTCTGAGAAGTGTCAGAAATAGATGTAAAATTTCTAGTTAAAAACGTTTCACATTACGTGTCAACACACGACGATGTTTTATTTAGTAAGTCTGGGGCGAAGCCGAGACGCGGGGCTACTAGTAGATTACGTAACTCACAAAATAAACGCACAACTTAGGAGTAAAAATGATAAAATTAATATTAGTTTAATTCATTAAATGCTTGGGTATTTATTCGACAACGACGATTTAGTATTTTTGGAAAATGAACTATTCTAATCATTGATTATTGGTAGACGATATGCCGTTACTTCTCGTTTCTTAGCAATACTTGCTATTACTCGTAACACACATTTAAGAAACTAACATAGAAACGCAGTGGAGGATGATTTTATTAGTAAGCTCCAGTTTGTTTAGTTTTATGCTTACAATTTAGATGATGGTCCACAGATATAATCTGCTATTTACAAGACACAATAGCCTCCTTCCCATTGGTCATCCCAACAGCATACCAACAGAGAAGGTATTCTCGAGGCCCATTTCACTGATTAGCGATGAGCAGTTGGTTACCCAAGAAACGATCCGAAGACGAGATATTCTCTGGTCAGCGGCGTACCTCCCGCCAGCTCAGTCTTCGTACACAGAGACTCCGAAGGTAAGAGGCAAGCTACCCACAGCCAGCTCTCCATCATAAAGAATAATAATAAGGAATAGCCGCCTTTTTTCACGGCCATTATAAGTATTAACGTTTTCTAATTAAACATTAATCTCATCGGTTCTATTTAGGGCCACCTAAGGTTTAATTATTTCACCAACAAATACCTTTTAACTACCATTTCTAGTAACGATTCGTCAACTAAACGACTATATGAAGCCAGCCACTGTTAAACCAAGTAGTTATTTACAGGCAGACGTCACAAGCGGAGTTGTTCGTCAAAAGGCTAGGAGCTTCGGCGACCAACGACCCTAAATTACATTTTCGACTCTAAGAATTCGACCAGAAATCACCGATCCTCTTCGAGGTCTACGCTGGGCGAATCCAGCAGCTATGAGGGAAAAATGAACTTTAACAAACGGGACAGTCTTCAACGGGCAAGAATCACTAACCAATCTCCTCACCTTAGATCAACAGAACTACTGAATCTGCAATAAAAAAGGTGCTTTAGACACCAGCGTCTTCGGTGTTACACCAGAAGATGTTGGTGAAGAGCTTTACAACTAGCTCTCAAGCTTCAGACGTTGTAGTTTTCCTTACGATCAGTCTGGTGCTACAGCAGCAGATGAGAGAAGATCATTTCGAGGAATCCAGGCAGTCACATTTGCTGAAAACTTCAGTCAAGAGAGAGTTTAGCTCACCGGTCCCTCTTAGGGCAATCGGACGTCAAACTGACTTGTCAACAAATATATTAGAACTTAACGAACTTGACAAAAAAG